GAAGGACTGCTTGGTACATACAGCTGAATGAAATCACCTGTGACTAGAGAGAAAGATTCTGACAAAGCCCTGGAAGACTCTGATCTTTAAGAACAGAATAACATAATGCTCAGAAAGACAAATGAATTTTTCCAAGAAGAGAAAAACTGTTTCAGATCCACTGTTACAAATACTCTCCAATTTGCTATCATCCCTAGCTATCTTTCAACCTCAGCAATGAAATCAAAATGACACTGACTTCTGCAGAACAGATTTGTAAGGAGATACAAACATCTCACATGTCTTCCTTTCATTTGCTCTATTCTCCTTGTAACAAAGGACTGTCAATAACTCAGAACACAAACCTCTTTTATAATTGACAATAAACCTATTATATATTTTATGAATAACTAGAAGAGGGGAGCTTGCAGTCTCAAAACACAAAGTAGTGATAAGGAAATAGAAATTTTAATTACCTTGATTTGATATACATATTGTATACATGCATGGAAATATCACACTGTATAAATGTGTACAATAATATGTGTCAATCAGAAATTTTTTAAATAAATAAATGGAATTAAATTAGCATACAACTTTAGGCAATATTATCTGTGGCCTTTTTGACTACTCAAGAATGATCGAAAATATCTTCTATTTTTCTCTCATAATAAAGAGAATAGTACACTATTGACCAAGTATACACATTCCAAAAGCAAACAGTGTATTCAACATATTAATAAACAAAAATTTAAAAAAACAAAAGGGTATCTCATGGATGCATAAAATCTCATGAAAAAAATCCAAAAATCCATTCCTGATATTAAAAAAAAAAAAACTCTCACAAACTAGAAATCAAACAGAATTCCCTTAACCTAATGAGAAATCCTCAAATGAATGGTGAAGAATTGAAAGTTTTCCTCTAAGATCAGGAACAGGAATTTATATCCCCTCCCCACTTCTATTCAACATTGCAATTCCAATCAAATTTTCAATAAGCTTATTTTTTTAAGATTGAAAGACTGGTTTTAAAAATTATATGCAAGTTCAAAGGGCATAGAATACCTGAAATGGCCATGAGAATAGTGAAGTTTAAGGACTAGCACTAATTGAAATTGAGATACATTAGTATTCAACATGTGGTATTGGTACAAAAACAGAGAGATCATTGGAATGGAATATAGAGTCCAGAAAAAGGCCTCCACATACATGAACAACTGATTTGGGGAAGATGTGCAAAGGGAACTCAGTGAAAGTCATCCCACTGTCACCTTGAATGCATATCATCTTTATTTGTCACTTAAATATTTACATCAAATGTTTTTAAGTGGGCAACAGACATTTCTCCAAAGAAGATTCACAAATGCCCAACAGGTATGAAAAGACACTTAACCTCTTATTCAATACTCCACCATCCAAAAGATGGTTGATGAAAGGAAAATGTGCACTCACTACCATAGAGGAACGAGACAGCTTGCAATGTGCCCGGAAGCCACATCAGAGAGTGCTGCTTTGGGTACCTGAGTTATCCCAGCAATTCGCCTCAACTGTCTTCTTTGGTGGGGTCCTTGATCCCATGAGGGAGCTTTTCCCATTCCCTCCTTCTCCCCTATCAATCTTCTTTCTCTGCTCCACTGATCACCCTTCTATTTTCATGGAATTACCCTCCCCCACTTTTTGGTTCCCCTCACCCCCCTTTTTTTTCTAAAATTGATTAAGGGGTAGATTTTATGTTATCTTTTCTTACTATGATTTTTAAGAAAGGTCTAGGCATGCCAAGTGTCCATGAGAATTTGGAGTAAGTGGAATTCTTATGCACTGCGAGCATTGCTGATGCAAATGTTAAGTGATACAACTACTTTGGAAAACAATTTCAGAAGACTCCTAGAAAGTTGTACACACATTCTACTTTATGACCCAATCGTTCTACCCCTAGGTATATACTTAAGAGAGGGGAAAGTATATATCCAGTCAAAGGTTTTCCATTGACAATTTATAATAGCCAAAAACCGGAAACAACCCAAAAGTCCATAAACAGATACATAGATAAACAAACATGGTATATCATATGATGTAATAATACTGAGCAATAAGGAATAAATTGTTGACATATGCAACAATGTCAATGATTCTTGAAATAATCGTGGTAGTTGAAAAAAACTATCCATTATTCCTTTATACCAAATTTACATGATTTTGTAAGAAATTCAAATCCATGTATTATGACAAAAAGCAGATGAGTGTTTTTCTGGGATGTGGAGAAAGAGTAGTAGGAAAGGCCACAAGGGATGAAGTACAGTAGGGCATAATAAAATTTTTAAGAATGATGTATACATTTTTTATCTTGATTATGGTGAGAGTTTCATGAGCATATTCATTTGTTAAACATATCAAATAGTAAATTGTTTAAATATACAATTTGTTGCATGCCAATTAAACCTCAACAAAGCCACTTTTTTAAGTCAGCAAATCAGAAAGGATTTTTAGACACATCCTTTGAGTATATCTTAGGTTGATGATCATAGAACCAAAAATAATGAATTATATATACATAAATATTCAATTCCATGTTTGTACATGGTATTAAATAGTAAGAAATAGCAATGATCATATTTGGAAAGTAATCTCAATTCCTTCAATGATTCCTTAAGCCCAAAAAAGAAGATTTGAAGGCAAGGTTGGTGACTGCATGGTGGCACCATATTGATTAGCTGTTTATTGGAAAAAGCTTTGACAGAACAGGTCTTTCTGGGAAGGCTTTGGTAGGCATAGTTCAGCTGAACCAATCCTGTTCTTTCTGAAAATACCCCCAGACCTTCCACATTGTCCCATGGGAAGTGCCTAGGTAAGTTTCATGAACTTTCCATTTATGTCAGTCTCAAAAATGTCCCCACTGCAGCCCACAGTGACAGAACATTGAGAACAAGTGTGCAAATGAAACCCGGACCACTCTGAAGAAAATCTCAAGAATGTGGGGCCTTGGAGAAAGAAAGGGCAGAGCAGGCAGAATCAGTTAAGAGGAGACACTTTGGAGTAAGAGGCCTCAGAACAGAACCTTCATCGTCTGCCACTTTCTTGCTACATAGTTTCAGTTCAGTCAGTTAAGTCACATTACCTTTCTGGTCTTAGTGGGTTTTTTTTTTTCTTTTGCTAAGTGGAGTCAATAATAATTATTTTCCATTACAGTTGCTAGGACTAAAATCAATGATTCATGTAAAGCTTTTAGCATAGTGCCTTGCATGTGCTTAGGATGCATTAACTTAAGAGTTAAGTTTAAATATTATTAGTGAACTCTCCACTTGTAGAAGTGTCTACCTCCAAAGCTCAAGGGACCAGGAGGGACTATCCCAGACAGTTCTGAAATAAAAAGCCCCACAGATCAGTTCTTTGTGTTCTGAAACCTGGACGATCATTTTAGTAACATGTATGGATGGTTATAGAGCTTAATCAGCACACTCCTATTCCACAAGCATCCAGTTGGTTTTAAGAATAAATGATACATGAAAAGCCCACGCAGGGTAAGTGCTCTGTAAGTAGAATTTCACAGATGAGAAGCAGGTTGAAAGGCACTAACTAATCTGAAGCCATACAGCCAAGAAGTAATAAACTGGATACAATGATGCCAAATTCAAAGACTTTTCTACAACATAAACACATCTAACACTCACAGGAAGCCAGTGTGTTGAGGGAACACTTACATAGCAGTTGATATTTGAAAAAAGGCCAAACGTTGGATTGTTTTCACCCCATTCAGCAGTTTTTAGGTGTTTGATGCAAAGACACGAAAGCTGACAGGTGAACTCCAATGTTGTGGCCACCTGCACAATTTTTTTCCCCTATATCTTTACCTTTTAGAGTTTGAAAGCTGCCATCTGTTTAATCTGCGCACCTCGCTTTCTCATACACAACTATATGTGCAAGCACACACACACACACACACACTCAGTCACATTACACAGCACTAGCACTTGGGCTATAAAATGAATGATACCAGCTTCCTTCTACTTCCAGAGATTGGACTTTTACCTTTTCTCCACCAGACAAAAGGAAAAAGAAAAGAACAATAACAATAAATTCTGGGCTGAGTGATTTAGAGCAGGCAGTAGATCACAGCTAGAGACAGGAGGTATGGCAATTAAGAGCTCGGACTCTGGCTGGGTGGAAGTGGCACTCTACCATTTGCTTGCTGACCTTGGGAAAACAGCTCAACCTCTCTAAGCTTAAGTGCTACGTCGACCTGCAGGAATAATAAGAGACCGTGCCTTATAAGGATATCTTAAAATTAAATAAGGTAATTCCTGTAGCAAATCTCCTATTATTTCTGGAAGGTAATATCGAATAAACATTAGTTGCTATATATTAATATTATTACAGTCTTTATTATTATCATTTCAAGCCACAGAGAAAGAAGGAAAACAAAAGGAGAAGAAATAATGGGATTTGGAAAATCCCTTCGAATAAAACAGAAGTTTCCTTTGTAGACAGCTTCATGATTTTTCCAAATATTTTTTCCTAATTCATCATGTACTTCTGTGTCAGGAAATGTACTGGGGCCAGCAGATATTAGTGAATAAAGACAAACATGGTCCCTACCCATTCATGCATAAGATGCTCCAAAAAAAAAAAAAAAAAAGACTTATTAAGTAAGTAAACCCATAGGGCAGATAAGAAACTAAGGACTGAAGAAGATGAAATTTGAAGGTAGACACTGAAGCTTCATTCATTCAACAAATATTTATTGAGGGCTTTTTATGTGCTCCATTCTTTGCTAAGCCCTGAGTATGAAAACATGTATGTCTCATGTCAATTACTTTCCAGTTGTGAGTATCAGACAATATCAGACATATAAAACATCTAGTATGTCCAATTATGACAAACATTACGTAGAATAATAAGTCAGAGTGTAATTAGGTGCGATTTTTACTAGAATAGTGCAGGAAAGCCTTCCTGAGAAGGTGACATTTGAGAAATGACGGGAAGGATGGAGAAACTGGGAAATGACATATTTCACAGGGGTCTGGCTAGGGCCTTCTGGAAACCTTTGATCTGCTCAAGAATTTCATAACTGCCTCCTTGACCTCCTTATTCCTCAGGCTATAGATGAGGGGGTTCAACATTGGAGTCACCACTGTGTAGAGCACAGACACCACCCTGTCGCCCTCCGAGGACTGGCCTGAATTATCTCTCAGATACATGAAGATGAGGGTTCCAAAGAAGAGAGCGACAGCAGTGAGGTGGGAGGTGCAGGTGGAGAAGGTCTTGGCCCGGCCTCCAGCGGAGCGCATCCTCATGACAGCCACGATGATAAACAGGTAGGACACCAAGATGACCAGGATGCAGGCAGGCATCACGAAAATGGCGAACACGACAATCACCACTTCCTGGGTATAGCTGTCCCCACAACTGAGTTTTAGCAGAGGAGGGAGGTCACAGAAAATGAAGTCAATCTCATTGTTCCCGCAGAAGGAGAGAGTGAAGGCCGTCACTGTTCGAATGAAGCCACTGGCAAAACCGGCCACATAAGCCCCAGCTACCAAGCCCACGCGGGCCTTCTCGGTCATGATGGTGACGTAGAGCAGCGGTTGGCACACGGCCACATAGCGGTCATAGGCCATGATGGCCAGGAGGTAGCAGTCAATAGAAGCAAAGAAGGTGAAGAGGAAGAACTGAGCGGCACAGCGAGCTTGGGAGATGGCCAGGCCGTGTTCCCACAGCATGGCCAGCATCTGAGGGACGATGACAGAGGAGTAGCAGATGTCCACAAAGGCAAGGTGGCTGAGGAAGAAGTACATGGGAGTGTGGAGTCGGCGATCTTTGCGGATCAGGAGGATCATCCCAGAGTTCCCCAGCAGAGTGGTGAGATAGAAACTCAAAAACACCAGGTAGAGGGGAAGCCCCCACTCGGGGTGCTCAGTGAAGGCAACGAGGAAGAACTCAGTCACCAAAGTGTGATTCACCTCAGCCATCCACGTAGCGCTTCACCAGGAGCCAGAGGAGGGGACCCCTCCAGAGAAGTTCAAGTCATTTCAAGTAATAAAGCTTAAATTGAGTGTCTGACATGTCGTCATTTTGACTTCAACACACTTTGCCATCTCAGGGTGACATAAGCAAGTTGAGAATTCGCGGTAATATAACAAGTGATGAATGGTTCTATTATAGTGGGAATGGAAAGCAAGTGATTCTCTAGGTTACAAGTCAGATCTTGTATTTGCAACTCCCTTTCCAATTAGCTGTTTGATGTTACCAAGGCACTTAACCTCTCTCGACCTCAATTTCTTCCTCTGCCAAAAGGTGATCGTAGTATCTGCCCTGCTTAGGAGCTAATGCATAAATTAAAACAGATGTAAATGCACATTGAAAAGTGAAAAGCATTCTATGGATATATGTGGGCTATTTACAATTTTAAGTGAAAACTTTAAGGAAGGAAAATTAATATTCTATGAACAAAAGAGCACAAACCAAAAAAAAAAAAAAACATTCATTAGCAATCAGCAACGGGCTCTGCTTATAGGAATAAATCTATTCTCAGTTTACAAACATGAATGTTTAACAAACAGCTGTTATCCTCATTAGAGTTGGCTGGTTTACTGAGGCTTTATGTAAATATATACACACACTAGCATTAACCCTGGAAACAACAGCAAACATAAGCTCCTTTAGGCACCTAAAAAAGCTCCAGAAGCATTTTTCAGTTATTCCCAAAGACTCTAATAAAGGAAGAAACTTGATAATAAACAGCAGCATACAAATTTGAAATCAGGAGGAAGCAGAAATGCTTTTGCAGTCTGATGTTGTCTGAGTGCTATTGGACAGGAGTCTGGGTTGATAGATTTGGGGGTCCTTGATGGAGTTCTAGCACAAGGCTGTCAGGAGCACCTTGGTCATGTTTGAATAGCTTGGGCACCAGCAGTCAGGCCAATGCTGAGCTCACCCGAAAAGGATAATAACAAAGACAAGAAGTTGGCCCTGCAGGCCATCAGCTGGGCTTGAACTGTCCTTACCCAAATTTCACTTTGCTGGTGTCTTCATCCTCTGTTTGCTGTTTCCTCTGCCTGTAACCTGGGAATCCAGAGGACACTTGGGTTGTGGTTCATCCACATCAAGTGTGAAACCCTGGGCAAGTCACATTTCCTCCCTGGGCTTAATTACCTTGCCTGTGTTCCCTTTCAGTAAGCAACGGTGCAGCCTGTGTCCACAGTCACAGGAACCTGATAGACATGGGGTCATTTCTAGTACCTCTATCCCCTGTTCTCACTTCTTGGAATCTCTCCTCTCACCCTTGACAAAGCAATACATCTCTGACACTAGCATTTCCTGGGAGGTTTTGCAGACCCACCCCAAGTCAGCAGGGCTAGGAGACCAGCCTTTCTCCCCCTGCTTCCTCTCCAGCCTCACCCCTGCTGGTGGCACTTCTTATATTCACCGCCCCAGCATGGTACCTCTAATTGGTTCCTGAGGTGACTCTCCAGGGGAAGGTGATTTTGTGACTTCCTAACAAGGGCTCTAATACCTTTGAAGATTTCTCTTTCATTTCAAACTCCCAAAGCCCCCTCCTGTGTCTTGCCATGCCTCAGCAGGGTCTGATGGGGCTCATTTCTAGTCTTCCCTCCTTCCTGCTTTGTCCTTGGAGCCTTCCTATGTCTCAGTAGCATGCACTTTTGCTCTCTATCACCAGACTGGCTGGAACTGGTGACTGAACATTGACATGTGGCAGAAGTAGTGGATGGTGCAAGTGGGGCGTCACAAGATGACATGTGACGGAGGCAGGTGTGAGTGAGCTGTGAACAGACTTCCTTCAGAGAAACAGAACACACTTGATGATGACCACATTCTGCACCAGAGTTCTGGTTCTGAAACCTCGGTATGTATAAGAGCTACCCGGGGAATTTGTCTACCATGTGAATACCACTGTGCATCTCTCATGGGGAGCAGGAAGCTACATTGTTAATGGGTACCCCAGGCGACCTGATAGAATTAATCCTCAAAAACTATATCTAGAGACAGTGTCTAGAGGAGCATTTTGGGGAGCTCTTGCCCCACTTGACCTTCTGCCACCCCTTCCCCAGGCTGCAAAGGAACCCTGTGCAATAAACCAAATGAAAATAATAAAGACGTGTTCTTGAAGAGCCTGATTGCTCCAAAGTCCCAGTGATGTCTTCCTTCCTTGTAGGAGAACTGAGAGAGTTTTGATGTTTTTTGGTCTTATGAAAAATTTTTTAAAACCTAGATACAGAGATAACCAGGAAGGTTCTTGGTGGCAAAACAATAATTCAAAGCAGGCCAACACTCTGTCAACTAAGCCCATCCGGAAGTTGCTCAAGACAAGACGACTTCAGGGAAGTAATTCTCAAGCTATCTGCACATAAGAATCTCCTGGGGAGTTTCTAAAATCCCAAGGCACAGCCAGATGCAGTGGCAAGTTCCTGTAATCCCAGCAGCTCAGGAGTCTGAGGAAGGAGGATTGAAATTCAAAGCCAGCCTCAGCAATTTAGGGAGGCCCTCAGCAACTTAGTGAGATTAAGTCTCAAAAAATAAAAAGGGCTGGGGGTCTGGCTCAGTAGTTAGGTGCCTGTGGGTTCAATCTCTGGTATCAAGAAAAATTCTTTTTAATTAAAAATAATAATAAAATCCCAAGGCCCCAGTTGTACCCCTGAATAATTAAATCAGAGTATCTGAGTATAGGAGCCCAACATCATTCCCTGGTGATTGCAATGTGCAGCAAGGTTTAGAACTACTAACAGAAGGCTCCTGCATACCACCAGGTGTCTTGGGACATCTGGAGCTTGGAAACCGCATTGTGCTATATTCCTATATGGAGAGTCATATTGAATTACAGCACATTTGAAGATAGGTAAAGTCCTATAATTAAGAAACCTCATCAACTTTATCTAAACCATGATTTCTCTAAATTATTTAGTCACAGAACTTCTTTTTTATTAGCATCCCACAAAACCAGAGTTCCTAAGGATAGATGCTCTTTAGTAAAGAAATAAAGAAGCTCAGAAACTGTCCCAATGCCAAGCAGCAAAGCAGCAATTATTCTAAGAAACAGCGTCTCCTAATGATTCATCTCAGGATCTGGCTCCTTAAAGTCTCTGTGAGACTGGTTCCCCCAAGAGCAATTGCTCCTACTGGGAAAGGAATTGGGAGGGAATCTGGGGGAAAAACACCCTTCCAGACAGGTCCCCCAGGAGCTATGGAAGTGACACCACCTTGCCCTTTAAGAAAGGTGTCCTCTTCCATCAGGAAGTGGATCCCATGGCTGAGTCCCTCAGTTCTACTTCATGAACAACCCTGGACATACCCACCCCTTCCCCAGGCTGCAGAGGCCACTGAAACCCTGCTTTCAGGAAGCATTGAATCAAGTTGAATGAATTCAACTTACTTAATTAGGTTGATTGAATCTTTTCACAATGTTTACTTTGATCAAAACATCACATCATACACATAAACAAATACACTTATCATTTGTCTGTTAAATGAAATGAACTTAAATGGCTTAATATAAAAGCAAACTAAAATGATTATTAAGCTGATTCAGCCACCATGTGGCCGGCTCTAGAAAATGAACCTCCAAAATGAGTTTTCATCACATTTTCACACATTGTATTAGGACCCATAAAAGTAAAGTAAAAGAAGTTTAGATTATTTTTTCCTAAAACCTACAACTCTGAATAAAATTTTGAAGGAAAATCCAACAAGATAATAATAGCAAAGACTATTTTAACTGCTTACTATCTATATAGCACGCCTCTTCACTCTTCTAAAATAGATGATTGATGGATGGATTGATTGGTTGATACACTAGCTCATTTAATCCACACAATGATCCCATGACTTGCATACTATTATTACTCCCATTTATAGGAGATGAGTGCTTAAGTAGATACCCAATATTCCCACAGAAAGAGCCAAAGGTTTGAATCCTGCAGTCCAGGGGCTGGAGATGTGGCTCAAGCGGTAGCACGCTCGCCTGGCGTGCGTGCGGCCCGGGTTCGATCCTCAGCACCACATACAAACAAAGATGTTGTGTCCGCCGAAAACTAATAAATAAGTATTAAAAAATTAAAAAATAAATAAATAAAATAAAATAAAAGCTGAATCCTGCAGTCCGGCTCAGAATGAGCACTTTTAACTCCTATGCCATACTGCAAACACTCACAAAATGGTCTCTAAATTCCACAATTGGAAATGGTTGAGGGATTCTTGCATGTCTGTATTTTCCTTCTAGACTTTTGGAAAGAAAGGGTCTTGGCTTAGAGATGGCATAAAGCTACAGGTGAGTAGATAGTGATAGGAAATTCTTGGGTACTTTCCTGGGTCCCTGCTCTATTCTGCAGACTATCACCACAGCCACTGCTGATAGCAAGGACTCAGACCCACCTATTCACATGTAGTCTCACCTTCCTAGACATAGTACATCAGACAGGTCCAAGACCTGATCTGAGTTGGTTGCAAAGAACAACCCTCTCTTCTTCCAAAAGGAAGATCTGCTCCAAGTGGATATCTGTTCCCTGGAGCCCAGAAGTTGTGACATGTGACTTGGAGGGGATACTAGGAAGGATATAAGAAGGACATATCTTCAATTCTCACTTTATGATCCCTGGTCACTATCTTGCCCCATCCATACTTGGGTGGATCTCATGCCAATTTAAGGCTGAGGGACACCTAGTACCAATAAATTTGCCTTGGAAGAACTTTGGAAGGACTTATCCTGCCACAAAAACTTCTCTCTCAATTCATTATTGGTATTCCTGCTTTAGCTTTATATATTCTAGAACTGTAGGATTTTTATAGTCTCTCACAGCTATTAGAACTAATAGGAATATTAGAGGTCAAATGACCCAGGCTTTCCGATTCACAGGCAAACTGTTCCAGGCCACCAAACAGGAAGATTGTTAGTGGTTGGCTCAATTAAGTTGATTGTCATCCATGACTGATAATCCAGCACTTTACCCAGTGGGCC